CCCCCCCCCCTCTATTTGAAGCAGTGTTTTCATCGTCAAATGTGTCCTGCCTTGAACGAAGATGAAAAAAGACTTGTTTTTTTTGGCATATGACATGGTGTCTTTTGTTGAGCACACACATGCACACAATGTATTACATATCTGATTTACTTATATCAGATCCCACAGTGTCATTAACCAATGCAAATGCATTCCTGCTTCTCTCTCTTCAGGTGGTCTGCGGAGTTTGGCGCACCCAGGGTTGGGGCTCCAGAAATACATGTTATGTTAGCGAACTACATATATTTTGAATCTCCTGAGGTGGTAGGTAGTATCTTGATACATATGTGACCTTTGTCATACATCTAAGCATTGTCTTCATGTCCAGATTTTGGGAGTTAAAACATGAAAATCCACTTTTCACAAATAACATTTTATTAATTGCTAGTAAACTCAGATTGAAGATAGGACCAGCTGGATTTTGGTCCAGCAGATCATTATTTAAAATGTTTTGGACATGTTGGTATCATTTTGATTTCCATAGGTCCTTCATGCTGTTCAAACTATTGTTGTCTTCATTTGTGCTAATTTACTTTAATTTGAAACCTGTAACCGAGAGGTCCATATTTTCCCTTGAGTACTTTGGCTCTTAGCATGAGTGCAGAGTGAACGCCATTATCTTGTTTGACTGCTTTGCAGGACATGGTTAGAGTGTCACATCATTTCATCAGAGGAAACAACCCAAAAGAGTTTGCTTCAACCTTAGTAAATTTTATGGGAAAGGTTAGCTTTCTTACCCCTTAATTCTCAATATTCATTTTTAAGAATTCAGTAAATAGATATGTTATGAGGGCTACAGAATTATAAGCTGATGTATATATGTGGTTACTAGGTTCTGTGTCTATGTTCTATGAATATTATTTGTTCAAAAGATTACTTGTAGTAGGTTTGTATTTGGTATGTTTTTTTTGCCTTCCTGTTACTAGGTTCTGTTTTCTATGAATATTACTTGTTCAAAGGTTCACTGAGTAGCAGGTTTCAATTTGGTAGGTTTTTGTTGCTATTATGTTGGATAATGAATATGACATTTACATTTTTTATATTATTTCATTTTGTAATGTGAATATTTTTGGGAATGTCTTCTTTCATCCAAATTTGATGTTGCTTGAAATTCACAAGTGTAATCAATGTTCAAACACAATATATTTTCTTCACTATAGCACAAGTTAGTTATTGGATTGTTGCACTTAATCCTGTCTGCAGCAGTCTTGCCATATTCATACCTTTTTTATGGAAAGTTTTTATGGAGTTCATACTTCTTGATCATGCAGTGTTATCCAGGGGAAGATGATTTGGCCATCGCACGAGCGATTTTAATGTAAGGACGCTACTCCACTATCATTGAACACCCATTACTGTTTGATGGTAATATAAGTCCATTTGAACCTAACTTCCTAACGTGCACTTCAAAATTGGGAGATCCTTGATAAATATAAGCATTCAACTGCCATTTCTTTATGTTTATATACTTTTATTTTCCTGAGATTGAACAATATCCATTAGTTTTCCAGCTAATGATGTTTCCCTATATTCCTAATTTTGTGACGTGTTTATTGTAGGTATTTGTCTTTAGGTAACCTGAGAGATGCCAATAATCTCATGGATGAGATAAAGAAACAAGTGGAATCTAAGCAGCTTGACTTTCCCCAATCGGAATTGATCCAGTTCATCAGTTTTCTTTTGCAAACGTATGTTGTGTTCAATTTCCCTTTTATCAGTAACAATCTTATATCTCATCTTTAGAGAAAATGATGCTAGCTAGAGGAAGTTGCCCTTCATGCCACTCCTAATGGATATTGGATTATCGTAAAAGAAAATGAAACGTATTGTTCCTTGGCTTATATTTCCCTCTATGAAAACCTAAAATGTAAGATCCTTAAGTGGGATTTTCAGCGACTTGGGAATTTTAAATGCTAAAGGTTAAATTAATTATTGATACTGGAAATGCAATTTATGTATGCCTACGCTCTTCATGCATCAACAAAACACTGGGCGAAATCCTGAGAGGCCATTAAGATTTAATGAGATTATGAAATAAGAAAGAACTCAGATTATTGATCTGTATGGTATGAGGTATACAGATTGCTGAATTTTTCTCATTGCAGGTTGTTAAGAGATGCTCTTCCTCTTTTCAATATGTTGAGAGCTAAGTACAAATCAAGCTTAGACAGAGAACCTACATTTCATGAGGTGTGCAACTTTTCTGCGTGGCAGACCATTTGACAACTTTTTCTCAATTTATGTATCTGCCCTGTGTCATGTCTGCTAGTGTATGTTCCCACACGCTTTCAGCTATTTTCTGTCTCCGTCTTTACCCTAACATAAAAATTATGGTTTAGTTGCTAGATGAAATTGCAGAGAAGTTTTATGGAGTACGGCGCCGAAATCCTCTGCAAGGGATGGGGATGTTTGGGGAGATCTTCAAGGTAGAGTTGAACTCTTGTGAATGGTCAAGTCTAATTTGTTATGACAGCTTAGAAAATTATAAAGGATGGAGACTAAAATCCGAAAAATAATAAAGAAATTACTCTGCAAAAGACTTTGATGCATGAAGAAAATAAATAATCCTTGAAATAATTGAGCTGCAGTCTTATTTGGAGTGTCAATCCTTGTTGTGCAGATGATGGGAGGTGAATAGTGATGTGTTGGAACTTCAAGTTTTCGCTTCCTTGCCGGATCCTTCAGTACTATCGTTATTGTGCCCGTTGAAAGGGAGTATTTATATACTTTGATTCCGTAGAAGCATTTTTTAATGAAGTGTTTGTTAATGATGTAAGATTTATTTTGTGTTGACCCAGGGAGATACAGATTCAGATTCTTGTGTTTGTACCATTAATACAGATAAATTATCATTATTGTTCATCTAATAGGTTCCAAATTGTATGACTTCTTGTCTTTCGAGGTCATGTCCCTCATGAATTCTGAAATTTGTGCTAGAATGGGTCAAGAATTTGGAGAGAGTATATTTATTTAAAGATACACAATATCAGTCAAACAAGTTCAGAATGTTGAAATCAGAAACAGAGAATTACAGTTGTTGATCGATCAAGAACTTCACTCCATTTGCCTTCACAAAGTCATGTGATGTGTGATCAACCACCTACAAAAAAAAAATGTCCGTGCCATGTCCAATTCTATTAAAACGCTAAAAACATGTTATAAATTCAGTAACACTTAATTGAAACAGAGAAAGGCTGAAGCTCACATTGGTGTTGCTGAGCTCCAGATTGAAAAAATCCATAGTGTCTGCCCTGAACAAAGGCCCCGCATGCCATGTCCCATGGTTAAGCTTCAGAAACTTAGGACCTGTAATCTTGAAAACACGAACATTCGCCACTGCCGGAGGCATATAGAAATGGCCGGTGGCACAGCGAGACTGCACCACATTCTTGCCTTCATGATCCTTGCTCTCAAGTGTCTGTTTGTCTACAATGGTAGGCTTAGCCACTCCCAGATACCAAACATGGCCACCAACCGACCCGAGGCATTGAGTCACGCTCGCATGGTGTGTGATTTTGGAAAACTTGAGCGGCCTATCTTGAAGATGCATAATGTAGAACCTGTTCACATGATTCAAAGTTGAAACATGTCACTAACCAAATGCTAATTTGTTTTGCTAGACAGTTCGACACACCATGTTATATTGTCAGGCTGTGATCTATATCATAAATTAGATGCCAGATATCTTGCAACTGCTCAAATAACCAAACCTACCATCAGAAAGATTCTCCAACCACAACCCAAGTCAATATCTATCTGTTTGATCAAAACCCAATTGACATGAACACAATATATGACCTTCAAGCATGAAAACTCAGGTGCCCAGTTGTTTTATATATATAATCTCGATAGTCTAAATTAATCTAATTTACGAGGAGCGAGATTCGAACTTGCTTTGTTTATTTTTTACCTTGGAATACCGTGGCTGAGGTCCAACTGAGCATCACGAGGCCCAAACTCCTCACCATCTGGAGAGGCCTCCACCACCTGACCGTACTCTTCAAAGCTCTCCGCTGTTGCTTCGATGGGCTTCAGCTTCACCCACTTTGACTCCTCAGAGATTGCCATTCTCTCCTCTCTTTTTTCTTCTTTTTTTTTCCTTTTTTCTTTTCAATCCACAAATAGAATAGAAATTCCATTATTATATGAAGGATAAGAAAAAGGAAACGGTTTGACCAAAAAAATAAAAGGAGGAAATAAGAACGGTTCTTACAAAATGCTGTCGTTTCAATGAACTTAAGCTAAACGCAGCGTTTTGATCTCCCCTGACTCTGTCCAAAACCGCAACCCTTTCTTCTTCTTCTTCAACCTCGTGAGACTGTGTCTGTAACTCACTCTCTGACGCGCCTCCATGACCAACCCAACTCAAGCTTTAACCCAACCCCAACTGCTCCAAACCATAACCAGCCTCTTAACCGCCGCTAAAACCCCACAACTCCAACCCCTTAAACCCTACATTCCCTACCTCACGCAGCCCCTCCTCCTCTCCATCCTCCGCTCCAAAGCCCTAGCAAACAAGCCCAGCGCGCTCCTCTCCTTCTTCCAATGGGCCCAGGCCCACAATCCGTCCTTAACCCAAACCCCTCACCCCCTCCTCGCCCTCCTCCACCCTCTCCTCTGCCACCACAAGTACCCCGACGCCAAAACCCTGCTCGTCCAATTCATCGCTGCCGATCGCCAAAATGAGCTCCTCTGGGTTCTTCTGCACCCGGACGACACCGTAGCAAAGCCCTCAAAAGCCCTTCTGGATATTTCCATAGGGGCTTATCTCCATTGTGGAAAGCCCCTCCTTGCAGCCCAGCTGTTCAAGAGAATGAAGCGGCGTCGTTTACAACCCAACTTGCTCACCTGCAATACTCTGCTTTATGCTCTGGTAAGGCACGCTTCGTGTGATTCGATTTCATTGGCTAAAAGTGTGTTTAAGGATGCCATCAAGTTAGGGGTTAGTGTGAAAACAAATACGTTTAATATTTTGATATATGGCTACTGTTTGGAGCATAAGTTTAGGGATGCTGTAGAGTTGTTGAGTAGAATGAGCGAGTTTGGATGTTGGCCTGATAATGTGAGCTATAATACCATATTGGACTGGTTGTGTAAAAAGGGGCAGTTGGTTGAGGCGAGGGACTTGTTGTTGGACATGAAGAATCGGGGGTTGTTTCCGAATAGGAACACGTATAACATTTTGGTTTGTGGGTATTGTAAAATGGGTTGGTTGAAGGAGGCAATGCAGATAATTGAACTGATGACACAGAACAATTCGTTGCCGGATATATGGACCTACAATATGTTGATTAGAGCGTTGTGTAAGGAGGGTAGGATTGAGGACGCTGTTAGGCTTCAGGATGAGATGGGACATTTGAAGTTGATGCCAGATGTTGTCACCTATAACACATTGATTGATGGATATTTTGAGTGGAGGAGCAGTTCAGAGGCACTTACGTTGATTGAGGAGATGCGTGAAAAAGGAGTGAAACCAAATGCGGTTACTCACAATATAATGATGAAGTGGTTTTGTAAGGAAGGGAAGATGGATGAAGCAAGTGATACTAGAAGGAAGATGGAGGAAGATGGGTTTGCTCCTAATTGTGTCACCTATAATACTTTGATTAATGGGTATTGCAAGGCAGGGAAAATGGAAGAAGCATTTAAAATGATGGATGAGATGGGTAGGAAAGGTTTGAAGACGAACATTGTTACCCTCAATACTGTTCTTCACACTCTTTGTAATGAGAAGAAGCTTGACGAGGCATTTGAGTTGCTTCATACCACAATGAAGCGGGGTTATATTCTTGATGAAATTAGCTATGGAACTCTGATCATGGGATGCTTTAAGAACGAAAAGGCGGACAAGGCTTTGAAGCTTTGGGATGAGATGAAGGAGAAGCAGGTCATTCCCAGCATCGTCACCTATAACTCTATAATTGGAGGGCTATGCCAGTCTGGGAAAACTGATCAAGCATTAGAGAAGTTGAATGAGCTTATAGAGAGGGGTTTAGTCCCTGATGAGTTTACATACAACTCAATACTTCATGGCTACTGCTGCGAGGGGAATGTTGAGAAAGCATTTCAGTTCCACAACAAAACTGTTGAGAAATCATTCAAGCCAGATGTATTTACATGTAATATTCTTCTTTCTGGGCTATGTAGAGAGGGTATGTTAGAAAAAGCCCTTAAGCTTTTTAACACATGGATTTCGAAAGGGAAAGACATTGATGCAGTTACTTACAACACATTGATATCAAGCCTTTGCAAAGAAGGGAGGTTTGAAGAGGCTTTTGATCCTCTTTCAGATATGGAAGCAAAAAAATTAGCACCTGACCACTATACATATGGTGCCATTCTGGGTGCACTTACTGATATTGGTAGGATTGAGGAAGCGGAAGAGTTTCTTTTGAAATTGATTGAATCCAGAAAATTACCTGATCAGTCCTCAAATTTGGTGCAAAGGGGAGTGACCAGTGAATCTAAAGTTGAATTTGATTCGAGCACAGTAGCTTATTCAGAACAGATCAATGAGTTGTGCTTTCAAGGTAAGTACAAGGATGCAATGCGCATTTTGGAAGAATCCATGCTGAAAGGCATCACTTTAAATAAAGATGTTTATATTAATTTGATGAACGGGTTGATTAGAGGCAAAGGAGTACATAAAGGCTGTTAAGCTGTAGTGTCACCTTGGGCTATTTTCGATAATGGCAGAGTGCCCCAGCCTTCCCTGCATGTTCTAACTGAATTTGACAACAGCTGGACCAGGTACAACCTTTTGTTTTGTTATATTTTCATCTTACACTCCAATCTCTTCATGTAATGCCAATTTATGTTTAATGCACAAACAATCTTCCTTGGTTCAGAAGAGTTGGCATGAAGAAAATAAAAATATTAACAGTATGTAGTTTGCAGATGTTACAAAAATGAAAGTTCTTAGAATTATTTACAAAAAGTTCTTTAATTCTCGTTCTGTCTATTGTGAAAAACAAAACAAAATCTTTTCTGTCACATAACTTCGTGCTGTTCAATGTTGCAGTAATGATCGGTAAGGGACTCATTTCGCTAATATTTTCTATGCTGCTTGTATAAGCAACTGGAATAAATGCAATAGTGCTGCTGATCAAAGATAGAATCAAGTTTAATAGTTTTTGAAAGTCGCAGGTGCCTTTACCAAAAGAATATAGTTCAAGTGAAATGAATGAGATGGTTCTCTATCCATGCCATTAAATTTGAGGTTGGGTGGGATTCAAGCAAGAATGGAAACTGATGACAAATGGCAGGCGAAAGTGGGGCTTGTTTTCCAGACAGGCTTCTCGTATGGCTTTGATGTGAGGAGAAATTGATTCATGAGGTTAGCAATAATCCGCACAATGTAAGAATCAACTTGAGTTTTCTTTCAGATAAGTTCCATGTTTGAAAATGCTAGAGGGACGACTCAGACGAGTAAAGGTGGTGAGGTATCAGCCTACAGTTTAGTACAAAAGAAAGTTTTCCCGGAGAACAGATCATAATGAATAAGAAGTGCTGTATGTCATCTTGTATACTTCTTAGCCTTTCGAATGAGATTTAGTTTTATGCATTGTTCTTGACAATTGGGATAGTCTTAAGGTTGGTGGAACAAGGGACATGCAGTGCTGGGTTTAAAGCATGTGTCAAGTAGACTCCCAGCGTCAAAGAGTGATTCTCCCAACTGCCGGACTTCCAACCCCATTCCCCTTCAGAAAGGACAAACCATTGAGGGGCTGAAAGATACATTATTCATCTTATATGCAAGTCAGAAATGGCTTAGACAGTACTGGTTTCATTGGTTCAGATGCTCTGCATTAGTGCTGAGCTCCAGAAAAGTGTCACCTCCTTGTTTTTATGACGATCCCTGCATTTCCTGGTTCGATTGTACTTTTATTGTAAAGTTACTTGTCAATTAGCAAAGGAAGAGAGATTACCGATTAAGCAGAAATGGTTGTATGTTCACTTTCTATATAGCATTTTGTAAATCGATAGAAACTTCGTCTTTTCCTAACCTTGATGTACAACACACAGAAAAAATAAATGTTGGAAAGAAAACTATAGCAACTTTGTTCAACTCTAATTTGTATTCCTTGCTAACTCACTTGTTGAAAGCTTTAATTTTGTATTCTCACATCAACAGGTAAAAAAGTAGGGTTGCTTTTAAAAGAGATGGGGGTGTCAATATGAAATTTTCTTTTACAATACAAAAGTAAGAAATGGGATGTCAATCGGATTCTAATCTTTAGGCTTTATAGTTGACTCTTGCACGGAAAAGCAAAAGCTCATTTACCTTTTAGAACGACAAAGCAAAACCTCAGTTTATTATTAGCTTTTGAGTCGATCCATCATCTTCCTTTGGCGTACATTTCAGTCGATATGAAACAATTAAATTGCTACAAATAACTTCGGTTAGGTTTTCATGCCACTATATATGCACCAATCTCCAACCATATATTCGAAATATAAAGCCACTTTTGGTGACTGGTAATTTTTGGTCAGAATGGATCTTGACATCACCTTGTCACCTAAGTTATTGTAAAATATATAGGTAATGATTTTTTAGGTGAAAAAGGTCAATCATTGTCAATTCATACAACCCATTATCTCCTCTCTCTATCTATAAAAGGTCTTCTGTTGTAAGGGGCTTGTAGCTCGAATGGTCAAGAGCATTTACCCCTACACCCGAGATCTTAGGTTCAATTCCCCATTCCCTAATACCGCTTGCATCGAAAAATAAATGGTCTTCTGTTTTTTTATACTTAGGAGAAAAACTAGGGGATCATTTGGGTATTTACAATGCCAATAATTAGTACTGTAATGGCAGACCAATCTTTATTCTTTTTCATTTTTTTAAGGCTTTTTTTTAATTATCTGTATATATCCTGTTTGCAGTTGCAGGTACTATATTGTCCCATTGAGAAATTAAGGGGACCTGCATGAATTATTACTTGGCTCTCGAAGTTTCAGAAGCCCCATCTGAAAAGCTAGAACGCAGCCAGAATAACTCTCTAGTATGAAACCACCATAAGAGAAAAAGATTTAAGTTATTCACAAGTTTGCTCAGTTGCGGTAGGAGAAGTGGCATCCAACGTTTTCCTCTTGGGATTGCCGTGTGATTCTGATCCAGTACCAAAGCATTCACATGGATTTTTTCTTCTGGTGACTATATAGAAACAAATAAAGCTGCTGATGTTCCACAATTCAACCACATTTTCTGAGCAATGTGCTAGCAGGCACCATGAAAGGATTCTGTGCATGCATGATGCATGACATTGCATATGACTGGGAAATTAATATACGTGCAGAAGTGATCTTAATTAGCACAAAATTTGACTAACTAGATTCGACTACATTCATGCACATTACTCTAAATTAAGCATTATTAATTTGAGTATGAGAGTAGGCTTTGTGTTCTAACAAAGTAGAATGATAGAGACAGTCGCACATCTCTAATGTCATAGGCGATAATCAATCGTTCGTGACTGTGGTGCTACATGGGTGCTAAGGGTAGTAGCTCACGCATCATGTAGAATCTAATCATTAATGCATGCAATGGATATTAGAGACAAATTACACATTCGTGCGAAGAATGCGACCAACTGTTAATGCATGTGAATCCAACGAATAAGAGATTCAATAGGCTATAGACTACAGCGAAAGTAGTTAGAAATTAATGAAGGATTATATCAGATCATATCATATGTATCCCATCAGTGGTTGCTCACGTGTTACATCCATCTCCTGTCTAAAAAAGAAAGGTTGACGATGATCTTAATTTGTAATTGCATGATCAGAATTAATAAATTAGGAATTAAGAAAGCGTGTGAGAATATTGGGGAACCCACACATGCATTAACAAAGGACACAACAAAGTCCAACTAAGCATAGCAAAGCAAGCAACCACGCGTGGACCTTTGTGGTTCGATTGCTTGCCAATAAATATGGACGACAGTTTGCAAAGTCCCCCATATATCTAATCCAATCTAGCTGCTTTGCATGAAAAAAAAATAAAATTAATAGGAGCACAGAATATTCTTGTCTCTGGGATGGGGGTCCAAATCACTCAGCTGGCTTTGATTAACTTGTGCTAATTTTTCGGGAACATAATGATTAATGAAGATTATTGAAGCAAAGCATATCTAACACCGAAAAAAAAAAGACAAAGAATAATAAATTAATAAAGCATATGTGCGTAAATTTTTTTTTGGTTTCTTAAGAGGAAGGCCATGCAACTAAATATATTCTACACATAAATCCAACTATACACGGTTTTGTGAATGAATGTTACATTTTTTTCTTCTTCGTAGTAATAACAGTTCTTAAGAGCATCTACAATTATATTCCCTATTTTTCAGTTAAAATTTAGCTAAAAACACTAGAAAACTATTTTAGCATATCTCTATCAAATTTGAACTCCAACCATACTCCCTAATTTAAAGACTCATAAATACTTTTAATATTTTTTTCAATTCAATTTTTGAATAAAGTAACAAAAATTAATTAATTTTAAGAGCCAAGTCATTCTCTAAAATAAATGGTTAAAATATTATTAAAATTATAGGGAGCCACTATGAGTCCTTTATCTCACCTCAGATTTAAGAGCTCTCCTAGAGGTCTCCCTATTTTAGGAGGTGGATGAGAAGCATGATTGGATTTGTATTTTTTTCAATTCATCCCTAAATTTTGTTTAAGGATGTGTTTTAGGGACTCCATTGTAGATGCTCTAATTTATAGCATATTCATAATTCACTTTTTTTGACTTTAATGTCGAATAATTATATCCTCAATTTTAGGGATTAAGTTGAGGTACACATTTGTAGTTTTACTAATAATTCAATTATTCAAATCCTAATCCCATGTATGTGACTTTTAACCTAATAATACATGATAGAAAATATATCCAATATTTCTCAACAAAAACAAAAGCAATATGGCATGTAAAACGTGCCTACAAAATTGTCCACCTTTAAAGAACAATAAGTTTTTATTAAAGTTATTCTTATCACAGAAAATGACCTGTAGCTTAAATGATTAAGCAATTACCTATACATTTGAGCGTCTATCTTTGAATCCTCGTAACTTAATTTTATGGTACCAAACTATAAAAAGAAAAAAAAAAAAGGCCACCCTCGTGGCACATCTTGTGTTAGGCTTGAAAGTACACTGTACATGTCATGGTTTGATAATCTAGCCGCATCAATTGACCATATTATTTTGCTTTGGTTTGTCGGTTGTTTCTCTTGTCCTTTTTTGTTGTGTTTACTTCTAATTTGGAAAGATCAAGCGACTTGAATTTTTTGTTTTTTTTTTTGTTTTTTTTTTTTTGCAAAAGACTTTCAGAAAATGAATCTATACAATCTATTGTGTTAAATTATTACTGGTAGTTGTGGTACGTCTACTTTCATCCAGATCATTTCATTAATTTTCACGTTCCAAAATTACAAAAAAAGAAGAAGATTCCAGACCATTTCCTCCACCAACAACTTTCTTCGGTTTTCCTTTTGTTTTTGTCTCTTCAATTAAGTAAGAATCACGACATAATTAAGCATCAGCACAACTGTTCAAATTTGGCCTAATGAAAAAACAACTGAGCGAACCAACAAAACATATGTACTTTTTTTATTTGTAGTAAAAAAGAATTTGACTAGGTCTTCATCTAAGGAATAATAGACAGTGCGTGTTTATCTGAGATTAACCTAGGAGAGAAAATTCATAGCCGCCGCTTCTTTTGGGGTGGCGACTATCATTGTGTTTTTTTTCCCTTTTCTTCCTCTATTTTCCTTCCGTCTCCACTTATCCTCTTTGCTTTCCCCTCCCGCATTGTCTTCCTCTCTGTTTCATTGACTATAGTTTATGGTGTAATTCTATAATAGATCTATGCAGATTTATTCTTTATTTTTTCGGCATATATATCTGATTTATTTGACGAGGAGGAAAGTTTATTGGTGCGGATCTATTATCTTCTAGAACTTGCGAATATTGGATTGACTTTGTGACAACGGGATTGCAATTCGGTTAGTTTAATTTCTTTATTTTTGGAATAAGTCGCAGAAATTTGTCTAGTTCAAATAATTCACTTGATGCTTCTAAACGACCAAAATTTGCTTCTTAAGTCTTTCCTCAGTTAATTTCTAAAGACTATGGTACTTTAGCTCGAGACTTCTATGAATTTATATATTGAAGGGGACTGACTGATATATTGCACTGGAAAAAAGTATACATATATAATATTTAAAAGGAAGTTGAAGAATTGGTGTATTTGCTAGTGGCATTGACCATATTTTAAGAAAGAGAGTGATTTGAACCTTTAAACGGGGGAGGGAAAAGACTTTGGTTGGGGCAAAGCCAAAATATAAGACCAAGGCTAAAGGTTGAGAATTAAACAATAAAAACATAATTAAGTTTTGAATTTTACAACATAAAAAATGTGTAAAGAATATATAATGGTGGCCAACTGCTTCCACCACGGCCACGTTACAAGACTGACTCTGTTTTTTTCCAAGTGGGTAGAAATTATAGCAAGTTCAAATGATAATGTCACTTTTAAAGTGTCTTAATCTTTCGGACTTTGATCTTCTCTCCATATCTCATTTTGTTGTTTCACACCAAACTCTCGAACTAAATAGAACCAAATTATAATCTAATCCCTTGGGCGCACCACGTTTAATCTAATCCCTTGTGGCAGCATTCGATTTGCTAGTCGATCATGTTATATTGGTAACTAGAGAGAGGCAACTCATTTTGTCATTTTAATCAAGCAAGAAGGGAGGAAATTCGAGTCTCAAGATCTTTTTCAATATTGAAAAGAGAAATACTTGTAGATATATATAGTTGATGAGAAAAATATATAACGCATTTACTAATATCTATATTTCTTGTAAAGATGAGACTCACTAGGTACCTCGGTAGATTTAATTTCACTCATTGAGAAACTTTTTTTTTTTTTTATCATCAATGTGGTCAAATGGTTAATTTTCATGAACATAAGATGTAATATTAATAGATAGAAAGAAATTGAATTTCCGAAAATGGGAAGCCCCATGAGGTTCATACCCCACGTTTTTTTTACACATAGGGCTAAACTAGCAACTACATATTTAGCTAATAAGTCAAAAATGGCAACAATATCCTTAAAGAAACCTTGCACATTTCAATATCATATGGACAGGTACCATGTATTTGCTAATAGGATTCCCCCGCCGATTCATTGTAGAGGAACCGTATATAGAACTGTGATTGCATCAGCCAGGTAAGAAAACAAGACCTAGCTAAGATGACGTGTAGGTTAAGCGATGACCAATACCTACTTATCTTTTACTGTTTATTATTATTAGGATAAATTGTAATAATGGTTGTTTCTTTCAGGACGGATTCAGGAGTTCAAAATGAAGTCGATTAAATTTACCTTACGTTAAGAGGTTTCGCCATAAAAGGGTATTTTGGGTCATTGAATTATATCCCAAAAAGAAGTTATGAGTAGTCTCACATCAGTTCCTTTCCCAATTTGTTCTTCTTTTATGTGTGCAAAAAACTATTTAAATAGTACTGGATAAGATATAAAAGGTGAGGAATGAGTGTTCATTTTTGTATACGATACTTACAGCTAAAGCAAATATATATTTGACACATGTGCATGAATGTATGCATGCATGTTGCTGACGTGTCCTGTTCATTCCACATGCATAATGAACACAAGTTCCTCTGGTATGGACATGTAGCTATATACAGGTTGTCTGGCCACCATCTGGTGTTCCATCTGATGTCATTTTACAGGCGGGTTTTCCTAATTAGGTAAGTAATGTCCCCAGTGAACATGATCTTCGATTCGTCAAAGATAATGCATGCGTGTTAGATCAGAACTACTCCTATAAGGAGGCTAGTTAGAGTGATTTAAGCATACATTGTATATGATGTTCTTATGATCGCCGGAACATGTTCTTGAACATCACTATTACTGCAGTAACATAAGACTGTCGACATAGTATTGATATTTTATTTACGTTGTATCAAAATTATCTAGGACTGTTGACTATTAAAATAATTTCATAAATTGGACCCAATATGCATCAGAAATTAAAACATACGGAGCTTTGAATTAATATACACGTCGCTATGACTAGTTACGAATTTTTGGATGCAAATTTAAAGGAGTTTCTTTACAATAAGGATGAACGACAAGTCGTCGCCGATCGAAAAATACAGAAACTATACAAAAAAAAAATATATGTGTACATAAAATAATGTATGTGAATTTTTATTACATCCCAGAAAAGAGAAAAAGAAAAATAGTTGAAATGGCCGCTCTTCGCCCGCTTAGACCCCTTCGCTGAACATCCCCCAGATCAGGCAGGTGATCCTTCTCCGAGCGATGTCCCCACCGTTGATGTCCGCCTGCCATCACGCTCGAATCAGCTTCCGCTCGGCCAAGGCCTTCTTCGTCTCAGTCGCTGCTTTGAGGATTCGCTTGGCCAAGGATTTCAGCTCGCTCCCGGCTGCGACCGCGCCATCTCGGCGTTGGAGGATGAGATCTCGGCGAGCCTGGAGCTCGGTAATCTGGGCCTCAACCTGCGCAGTTCTTGAACATCACTATTACTGCAGTAACATAAGACTGTCGACATAGTATTGATATTTTATTTACGTTGTATCAAAATTATCTAGGACTGTTGACTATTAAAATAATTTCATAAATTGGACCCAATATGCATCAGAAATTAAAACATACGGAGCTTTGAATTAATATACACGTCGCTATGACTAGTTACGAATTTTTGGATGCAACCATGGACTTGGACACCTCTTCAAACTAAAAGTAACATCACTAAAACAAAGAGTTGAAAAAGAGTCAAGGGTGGTTTTTGTATTTTATTTTAAAAGTATCTAATATCAATAAATAATAAGATTATTAGACTCCGTTTGATTAGCGGAAAAGAATTAATGAGAAATAATAAGTAATTAGAATTGACATCCTATTTAAAGCATTACTTGTATAACAAAATCTTCGAAAAAAACCTAATTTTACCCAAAAACCAGAGGACCAAGAAAAGAACAAAAAAGGGAAGACTTGGAAATTAAAAGTGGCTGCAGAAACATGTGGAGTGATTTCTTGAACAAAACTCAAAAGAAAAACTTAGGCAACAAGAAGATAAAATTTGAAAAAATAAAAATAAAATAAATGCAAGTAATTTCATAGGGATGACGTCATCTCACTAGATTGATGACACAAATGCCATCGACAATTTAGATGCTATCTCTCTATATATATGTAAGTGTACACATAGAACTCAAAGCAGCTCTCTAATTCAAGCAAAGCAAGAGAAGGCACATTGGCCCCTCCTTGAAAACTTCCACCTCATATCTCACTCAATTAGACAAAGAAACAAACAAAGCAACAAGCAATGGAATTCAACACTTCAACTCCCTCTGCTTCTTCCCCTCCACTTTCAATATCCCAGCTTTCTTCTCCCACTGCCTCATTTCCCTCTCCTAATAATTCTCTCCAATTATCTAATTTATCTTCTCCTAATTATGCTGTTAAGAATAATAATAGTATTATTAACACTAACAGTAATAATCCAACCTCTCCTTCACCACCACCACCACCACCACCACCACCTGTTGTTCTTAGCCCATGTGCTGCCTGCAAGATTCTTCGCCGGAGGTGCGCCGAGAAGTGTGTTTTAGCTCCATATTTCCCTCCTACCGAGCCCCTCAAGTTCACTATTGCCCACAGAGTCTTTGGAGCTAGCAACATCATCAAGCTCTTGCAGGTAATAACAAATTCTGCAAATTATTCATTATTTTTATTGTATTATTAAGTTCACATCAAAAGGTAAGGTTGGTCATGATCAGGAACCTTTTTTCAACTTTCACTTTGTGAAAGTACAGTCATTTTGAAAGTGGGTTGTCTCTGACTCCCTAGTGCGAGATTTTATTTATATTGTCAAACTTTGAATCTAAATCGCAGGCATATATTAAAAGTTACATGTGTGAAATTTTTTCAGGAGCTTCCAGAGTCTCACAGAGCAGATGCAGTGAGCAGCATGGTTTATGAAGCCAATGCCAGAATCAGAGACCCAGTGTATGGCTGTGCAGGAGCAATTTGCCAGCTCCAGAAAAATGTCAGTGAGCTCCAAGCCCAACTGGCCAAGACACAAGCTGAGCTTCTCAACATGCAATGCCAGCAGGGCAATTTGATTGCTCTAATTTGTATGGACATGGCACAATCCAAAGACCCCATTTTGCAGCAGCAGCAGCAACAACAGTCTTACCTTGACACAAGCTGCTTTCTGGATGAGACCAATTTGGGCACAGCTTGGGAGCCTCTGTGGACATGAACAGTCATTTGGGTCATGGGTTGATGTTACATTTAAGCTTAACCTCCAATTGCGGACGAGACATTGAAAAATATACTTTGAAAATTTCTTCAATAAAGTTATCATTTGTTAAGGTTTATATATATATATAAATAAATAAATATTCTTGTAATATAAAGGCTGTCTTATTCAAAGCAATGATTTTGTAACCTAATTATATACATATATATATATATATATATATATATATATATATATATAATAAAATAGTGTGTGTTTTTA